CTCTCCATGTTTCTAATTATCTTCATAGTTATAACCATTTTTGCTTTTTAAATGTACTTAGATTTTTGCATGCTTGTTATAACAAGTCCAACAATACAGAATTTGTAAAAAAAAAAAAAAAGCTATCTTCTCTCCTCTAATCCCACCCTGCTGAAGGAAGCTACTTTTAAATTTAGTGGATATCCTTCCAGATATTTTCTGTATATACACATATACATATATAACAGGTACAAATTTCACAGCTCAAAGACAGGTATGCCTGAATTGTAACTTTATTTTCTATAACTCAAGTCAGTTTCTATTTGAGGCCTCATTCCCTCTGATGGCAAAGACTAAATCAAGTTAATTCAAGGTAAATGGTAGCACTTATGATTTCCCTCTTTATTAGTGATCAGATACAGTTTAATTCCAGTGAATTCAGAATTTACCAATGCCCTTTTTTCTTTCCTTTTACCTTCACATAATTACCAGTTTTTTAAACTTATAAAAGAAATGGACATTCATTACAGAAAAATATTAAACCATAAATAAGCGAAATGGAAAAACAAAAACTATTTGTAAACCAGCAGCTAGAAATAATCAAGCCTTCCAGATTTATTCTGTTCGTATATATGCATTTTGGGGATCATATTTTAACTAGCTTTTATTGCTTATTATATTGCGAACATTTTTCCATGTCACTTCTATGAAAACATAGAAAATATACTTCTATGGCATTTTTAATGAGTGCGTGGTATCCCATTATACAAATATACCATAATTATTGTCCCCGTTTTTGTATATTTGGGTTGTTTCCAACTTTTCACTTTTGCAGAATCACTTGTAGCTAAATCTCTGTGCACATCCCTAATTATTTCCTCACAATAAAAATTCTGGAACTGTTTTTCAAAGGTGCACTCATTGTTAAAGTCTTTTGATGCATGCTGTCAGCAGACTTGCAGAAAGGTGGCACTGCTTTGACATCCGTGGCAGGAAGGTCCTTTTATCCATACCCTGCCAGAACTGTCTTAATCATTTTTTGTCATCTTTGTTAATCCGATAGAACAGTAGTTTTTGCATTGCTGTTTTAAGTTGTATTTCATTAATTACTAGTAAAGTTGAACCTCTTTTTAGGCACCACTTTTGTGAATTGCCTACTCGTATCTTTTGCCCATTTAGACTGTGTCATTTATTTGCAAGAAGTCTTTGTAGAATATAAAATAAAATATTGTTACCTTTGTTGCAGATATTTTCCTAGTTTGTTACTTGCCTTTTCATTATGTCTCTGCTCTTTTGACATTGCAGGAGTCCCACCACTAGGCCAGAAGTCTGGTCTTCTGTATGTGCCCTGCCTTCCATTGAAGTTCAAATAAATAGAGATTTTTGTGTCAGTTACTTCAGTTGGAGGACCAGCGGGCAGAGTCTCCTGGATCAGCATTTGGATTGGGGGTGGCCAGGGGAC